AGGCCACACACACCAATGGTTAATACTATTACACAAACCACCCCAAAATCTGATCAAAATCCCCCAAAATATTACCGCCGTCCGATTCAAAGCCAAAGGGTTGTCAATACAACAAAGCAAAGATCAATTGTTGTAGGTGATGAGACCCACAGCATTGCCTGGATCATTGATCCCCGTTGTTGGCCCCAGTGTTGTCCCTGCACCACCAAACTCGGTGGTTGGAGTAGTCCCTGGGATTGTCCCTGTGGTGGTTGAGCCGGAGGTTGTCCCGGTTGGTGTGGTGTGCCTATGGTGTGTGCCCGTGCTACTGCAAAAACAAAAATAAAAAAGTAATAACTTTAGAAAGAAAGATCAAACATGAAAACATCATGGAGAAACTTGCATGAAATTTTATGAAAATGACGAATACCTTGAGGGAAAGCTGCAAGTTGAAGCAATATCTACAAATAAAAAAATGGTCAGGGAAACCCAGAAATGGAATAAGAAGAAGAAAACAAAACAGGGGTTTTGAAGGCACATACTTGGAGGAGGAGTGGCGCTAACAGTAGCGGCGCCTGAGAAATCACAGCTTCCTTGAGCTTGACCTTTCCTTTGGAAATAGCTATTGACAGCGTAGTTGCAGTGATCTTTCAACGTGTCGGGTTAAAGCAACCACCTTTCTGGAGAATAGCAGACAATCAGCTCCAGCTCCACACGCATAATCCAGTGTCTTCTGAAGCATTTGATCGCCAACTCCATCTTTACATAAGCAATAAGTAGCACCTACACAAAAAACCCAACAAAAAAATGTCAAATTTCCGGTAAAAATATGATCTTTAAGATGCTATCTGTGAGTTTTCTCGTAAATCTTTAAGAGAAAAACCCAAATAACTTACTAGAACGGCCAGTCATGGCTAAGAAGAGCACCAGACAAATTAAAAGGCCATGATTTGTGCAAGATTCTGAGGAAATTAAAGAGAAACAGAAGACAGCTAGCTGCAGGAAAGAAGAAAGAGAGCAAATGGAGACTTGTTGTAGACAAATACAAAGGAAGGAAGACGGTGGGTATATAAGCAATAATGTTGTCTTCAAACCACCCCCTGATACTGCTCTCGAGTGTTATGGGAAAATGGGAAACTGAGCAATGTCTTAGAAAAAGGTGGTGTTGGTATGTAATTTGGCCTGTTAAAATATTCACGTAATTGCATTTGCATATGCTTATTATATATCTATGATATTCTCAAACGGTCGTAAACTCGAGTGAAGGGTCAACACTTAACCTGGTTTAGGTTAATAAGAATAAAAAGTGTCATTGTGAAGATGCAGCCCGAGGGTTCTACATTTGGGACCCTTTTACAGATCCTTTATTCGTGCTGTCACCACTCGACCCTTTTATAATTAATTTATTTGATGAGAAATAAATATGTTTTTTTATTAATATAGAGTAAGCGTAATATTATTAAAAATAACTCTTCATTATTTGATATAAATATATATACTCTTGACATTTCGAAGCTAGGACCATGGCGGACCTGAGTCGTGTCATTGGTATCCCAGACAACTAAAAGTCTATGTAGAAACCCCAAAATTAATATAAGTGACACTCTTAATACAAGTGTCACTCCTGTGATTCTTGTAACCCCTGAATTTTTGTCTTGGGTTCACCTCTGGCTATGACATAAAAAAAAATATATTTTTACTACTGATGTCACTTGGTTTGTATTATATAAATTATGACTAAATTTATATAATCAAATTTAAAATTATTTCGTTTCTTGGTTCGATTAGATTTATAGTGACAATTATGTTAGGAGTCATAGTAATTGATGTATCGTTAGTTCTCAGTTATTATGAGACGGTTAGGTGATTAGGAGTTTGTTAGATCACCGACTCAAGGAGCTGCTTTGTATATACAACGTCTGGTCTCGTTTGAGATATTACAAACTTGTTAATGTGTGAGAGTGGTGCCTCTCTTTCCTCTCTTCTTCTTCACTTGTCTGCTTCAGCTATTTTCTACAGAATTATAACATGGTATCAATATATATATTTTGATTTTGATTAATACTAACTCCTAACAATTATTATATTTAATTTTAATTATTATATTTTACTTGTGGAATCAATCAATATATATATATATATATATATTATATATAATTTTAAAACGATAAAATAATTATAAATATTAATATTATTTCTTCTTTTACCCGTTGATGCTCATGGTTGTGCATTGATGGTAGACCATTGGCCTCCATTTTGGTTCCTTAATTCTTTTTGAATAATTTATCATGAAATAAGTCGTAATAAAGTAAAGTTTTAATATTTTTTAATTATCTAAACTATATTCCGAAATACGATTTGATATCTTAGATAATTTTTCGTTAAAAATATATGTCTACTTTTATTAGTTACATTTTTAAATGCCTATCTTTATATTATTTATTTTTTATTTTTTAAATATAAAAATATGTGTGTACATATATATAAACTTTCCCTCCCCGTCCCCTTCCCCATTTCCCTCCCTCTCTTGTCTTGTTTACCCCCACCTCACCTCACTATGCAATTTCTTAAAATCTTGCAAATCACCTATTGCAAATCGTCGAACGGTTTAAATGTCTTTGAATGATTTACAAATTACACTACCGACGATGGGTTTTTGGAATTAGGGCTAGAGATTTGAGGTTAGGGGTTAGAGATTCAAGTTTTGGGATTTATGAATTTAGGGGGATTTTGACAATGGCAAGACCGGTTGGCAGTGAAGGTCTGCAGATGGGTGGGTGACCGTTCGATGGTGGTGAAGACGACCGGTGATGGTTGGCGACGGCCAACGTGGGTTGAAATGAGAAACAATAATATTCTTAATTTTGTAAAAAAAAATGAGAATGACACGTGTCACTTGCACCTAAAAATAACGTTGAAAACAAGACACTTGTTTTTAGCGAAAAATTATTTAAACTCCAACCGTATTTGAGGTATAGTTAAGATATTTATTTTTTTATTAACCCTAAAGTAAATGGTATGACTTAAGAAGTCAAATTTTTAAGGGGAAAAACACTACTACATCGAGTGAATGCGACAGTCCAATATTTAATTAAGTAATTAGAATATGCTTTTAGAATGATGAATTCATTAGGATGCTTTGGCAATGAAATATTGGACCTTATTTCTTGAAACTGTGACATCAGTTTATAGTGTATTACTATTATTTAGAGTGATAATTGATATCATAGATTCAATATTTATCGATATTTAATATTTTGCGAATTTAAATGTTATATTAAAATAATATTCAGATTCAAATATTAGATTGTTACATATTATGTATTCAGAGCATATATAACACACTATCGTATACTTATTATTAGTATTCATAAGGATCAACCTTCACCTTCACCTTCACTCTTAATTTCAAGGATAAATTACGTGTTCAATATCTAAACTATCAGTTTTGGCTCGGGAGTGTTCGGCACGGTTCACGCGCCGGTAAGAGCTGAAAGATGAAGTCCACGCGCGGCTAGGAACTGGCTTCGATGGCTAGAGGCGGCGGCTGCTGACTCTGATATTTTGTAAATCCTAATATGTTTTAGGGTTTTGGGTTGCTGAGTAGGGTTGGGTTGAACCTGGGTCATCCGAGTTTGAATCGGGTTTCCCTCCGGGTCGGGCTCCAGTGGGATGGCATATGGGTTATGCTTGTATTTGGGCTTCAATGTGCACTGGGCCTCGGGTGATGGGTCAACTGGTCTGTTGTAGTTGGGCTTGGGGATTGGCCTGCAAAAAATATAATTTGTATTAATAATAATAATAATTAATAAACATAAACATAATAATTATTAATAATAATTTAATAATATTTTTGTAGACCCAGACACAAATGGGTGTCTACATGTACTAAATACATAATTTACTCTAATTTCAATTGCCACTCATGACTCATTAACTTTTGCTACTTTCAAGTTAGCTAAAGTAGCAAATGCATTATATATATGCTAGAGTGGTGTATATGTTAGAGAAAGAAGATGAAGAACAAGACTGTGTGGGGAAAAGGGGAATGGAAGAAGTATTTGTATGGAAATAGAGTTGGTGGCTTTTAGGCCACCTTTTAATGGGTCTATAAAGGTGTTGATCGGGGGTATTGAGATTCCTTACTCGTTTCAAAATGGAATAATTGAACCACCTCATTGTTACACACTTTCTACCCTATACCTTAGAGGGGTAATTAATACTTGACTAGATTTAAAAATAATTTTTTTTAATTTGTAGTTATTCGAGTCAACTCGAACTATCAATGCGGTTTAATCTTGATATTAACTATACAATTTTTTTTATTATGTATACGAAATGTTAAGAGACGTCAAAGCATGTGATGATATTCTCAAAAGTAATATTTGTGCATTATTTCCCAACTTTTCGTGTCCAAAAATAATGACAAAACATAGCTCGGGTTGTAGTGAAAAAGTTGGCCAAATTAAGCTGTACCCACTAATCGTACAGCTAATTCCCTTTATTGCTTTGTTCTATATATCCGATTTATAACCCTTAAAAAGATGGGTTTAAAGTTTAACTTTAGGTTTTTTTTTGGGGTAAACTATGCATTATTGATCCGTTTTAGTATCTAGACTTTTAATTTTTACAAAATCATGTCTAACGTTTAGTTTTCATTTCATTTTAGTACTCGCTGTTAAAAACTAAACGTGTTTAGTACCTAAACTATTAGTTTTGATCAGGTTTAGTACTTAAATTTTCAATCTTTTCGAAACTTAACATTAAATTTTTAACGAATGTACTAAAATGAAACAAAAACAAAACCTTGGGTGGTTTTGAAAAATTAAAAGTTTAGGTACTAAAACGGATAAAACTATAGTTTAGGCGCTAAACTGAAATTTACCCAATTCTTTTTATTGTACTATGGGTATAGGCCTTGGATGGCAGCCCAAAGTGTTTTTCATCCATGGAATACATATGAGATCCAGCCCAAGAAGAATCTGAAAAAGATAGTTAATTAGTTTTTCAAAGTCCAAGTTTAATCTGAAAAAAAAGTTGGAAATAATTTCACCTACTAGAGAGTGGTTTCAGTTTCTACGACTGCAGAAAGGAATAATTTAAGAGGTGATGGAGGGTGGAAAAGACAAAGAAGATGAACAAGATGGCGTTTCCGTACATTCCCCTTGCAAAGCTCCGCCGTCCTCCGCCTCTTCTCTTCCTAAGTTCTTCGCCGGCGTTCGTCTTTCTCCGTTTTATATAATTATTAATTGTTTTCGTTGATTTTATTTATTTTTTTTTTGTTGATTTAACAGGAGCAACAGGAGGTAGAATTGGAGTTGAGGCTATTGGAAGCACTTGAAATTTATCCTCCCGTCAAATTACGAGGTATATATATATATAATATATATATAGAGAGAGAGAGAGAGAGAAGTAATATTATTGGAAATTTGAATCACTTTGATTCCTTTGATTTTTCTCACTGCTGTGGCGAGAAATGGTAAAGCTATATTTTCAGTTGGCAATTTAATAAATGCCTTTTGTGCTGGTATTTGCAGTGAAAGGTTGCTTTATATTGTGTGTTGTTTTGGTAGTTTTAGAATCTAATGGTGCATTTTCATGTTTATTGTTTATGGATCAATTTGAAGCTTTGAATCCTTTGAGCTTGCTGAAATAACTTATATATGGTAAAGAAATCAGTGCATCTAGCAGTTCATGCACATGTTATGGTAAAACAATTAGGCTTGATTTGGTCTTCAACAGTGTTTGAAAGCATTACTTCGAATCGAATTTACTTCCCTGCAGGCATGCATCGCCACTTTGTACTCTATGGTCTGATGGAATTCCTGCAGAAAAGGTTTGTTCCACCTCCTGTTCTTCGTGCTCCGTATCGATACCCTCTTCTGATCCCAGTGTTGTGGTGGGTCATTGTTTCTTTTGCATTCTCTTATCGTTTGCTAAATGTTGTCGCAGCCTTGACCGGCAATTTTCTCCAGATGAGGTTTTGCAATTGCTTGATCGTTTCTACAACTTAGAAGTGCTGGTAACCTTGTTCAATTTTTTTTCGTTTCGGTTAATACTTTGATATTCCATTGAAGATGAATTTTTGCATTGAATACTGTCTTGGATGTTTCCATGTCTGTATAAATAGACAAAAAATGATAAATGGCTGGCTTGAATTCTATGCGTTCACCCATTGTGGTTGGATAGGGAGACTTGCAAGTCAATCTGGTTCACATGGTGATGATGGATTGGAAACAGAAAAAGTTGTTGCAAATGATTCTTTGTTTCCATTTTCAACATAAGAAATCGATAGCTGTATCGTATACTCTTAGATGAGCAAATCTTTGCTGCCCATACTCTTCATTTTTTTAAAAGTACCCATCTATTTCATGCACTTATGAATAGATCACAAACATCGAAATATATGACAACTTAGTCCATGTCATATCCATGTCCACACCACCCTCGGTCCAGGTAATATAAAAGGATAGTACCTGCTGAAAATTGGACACTATAAACCCTAAATGGTGCTACTGCTTTTTGGTTATCTTGAAAGGTAGTATTCCTGAGCTAATTTTTTTTTTTTTTTTGTAAATTTCAGAAACCAGATGATGAAGAGATTGATATCCTAAATCACGAGGAAGATTTGCTTGCCACAAAGCTATTTTGTCAGGAAGAACCCTAAATCTCTTTTGGGGGATTTGGGGCATGCAAATATCTACACTAGATTTGTTTTTTCTTACTTGAGATCTGATGATATCCAACTGTGAACTCATAATGTTCCTTGATCACGTTGCACAATATTATTGTAAATATTAGTTTGCGATTTTGATGGAAAGTGATTTGTTTGTTGACAGCTTCTTGTTCCTTAGAATTTCCCCTTTTTAAGTAAATTTCTAAAGGACATGCTATATTTTTTTTGGTATTTGACCAATTGATTGACTAATTTGAATTGAAATTACAGAGACTCGTTACGAGATGACTTTTTTTAATAAGTTTCCTGTATATTGCTTTTGCACGAACCAAGAGAACTCAATGGTAAAAAGAATTATTGTTATTCATTGAGGTCATGTCAAGCACCAAAATGTCAAGGGTGTGAGCGATTAATGTCAGAAGATGGAGAATTATCTATGAACAAAGTATTAAATTAGAAATTATAAATTAAGATTTAAATAATGCTTTTAGAACTCAATGGTAAAAGAATTATTGTTATTCATTGAGGTCTCATGTTCAAGCACCAAAATGTCAAGAGTGTGAGCGATTAATGTCAGAAGATGGAGAATTATCTATGAACAAAAGTATTAAATTAGAAAAATTATAAAATTAAGAGATTAAATAATGCTTTTATCCGTTAATTGACGACCCTACGTTTTCGAAAATAGAAGCTTATAAGATGAGACAAAATGTAACCAAAAGGAAACAATATAAAGCAAAAAAATATTCATAGTTTCAAGTTTCAACAAGTAACTTCATATTAGATAGAGAACATTAAATTAAAGCAAAAAAGAAAAATGAAGACAAAAGGTGAACTTAAAGACATGGTTTGGATCAATTGATCAAACTTCATCATCTGGTTTTTGGCAGTACTGCAAAATGATGGTTTAGCATTGTAAAATGGGCTAAACTGGCTGATCCAATCCTATTGTAATAAAGGTTCATAAGAAGCCAATACAGGCAAAGAGCACTTGAAAACACATTGAATTTGCCCCCCCCCCCCCACAAATTCAGGCCTCTCAGATTCTCTCCATCAATTTTTCTGCAAAAACCAATTCATGCTCAAAATTTTGATCAATGTGTTTGAAACATGCCCCACGTCATATATCCAAGTTAACATTTAGTGTACCACATCATATATACCCTGTGGACTCAATTAGCATGTTTCGAAGTTTAGGGACTAATGCAGAATTCAGTCATAATTTGAGGGCATCTACTGCTGTTAAACCAGAAAATAAAAGAAGATGAAACCATGGCATCTGGTAAGCCTTACCTCGGCCTTTGCCTCCGATTTGGATGCTGAGGATTTAGCATCTTCACCTTTTGCGCCGTCTTCACCTGCATCAAATTCATAAAATGTCTAAGACAATGCTTCCCAAAGTTCATATACTTGATATAATATATTCAAAATTTTTAAATAGAATACCTCATCTCAGGCAAATCAGAAGTCCAGAGAGTGAGATTGTCTCTTAGAAGCTGCATAATGAGGGTGCTATCCTTATATGACTCCTCACTCAAAGTGTCCAATTCGGAAATGGCTTCATCAAAGCTTGCTTAGCCAAATGACAGGCCCTGCAAGCTCCCCAACCAATTAGACCATTCAACTAATTACTATAACAGATATAGAGCATATACCTCTCAGGTGAATTCATTATCTATAGTAAAACACAGAAAAGTTAAGGGCGAGGCCGAGACGAATTGGATGAGTTGAAGGAAGATTAGTGTTTGCAGCAGCAGAAGCAGCCTAACAAATTGGAAAAAAAAAGGCAAATTAGGCGTCTGCAGTAAGTGAAGAACACTATGATCAAATTATGGGATCTTTTTGTTATAAATGATAAAAGGGTAAACATTAACTTACCTCATAACCTTTCAATGACTGCTCAGCAGCTTCTTTCCTCTCTTGATCTGTCTTGAACTCGGCAACATACCGGTAGTAATCACCTTTCCTGAATTCAATTACTTGCTACGTAAGTTTGCAATCAGAGAACACTAGTTATCTAATTCGATAAAACTAACAATCTCGGTAGCCAGGGATGGACTGAGAGGTGCTGGAGTTCGGTCAGACACCCAAGAAATTTCAAATTCTCGGTAGTTTCTAAATTCTATTCATAATCTGATTTCGCACCACTGAATTTTTAATATAAATTCTTAATTTCACACCTCTAATGTCATAAAATCATATGTACATCCCTGCCGGCAGCATACAAGTTCTCAGCCGGAGAATACTAGTAGTGAATAATGCTTTATAAATTAACAAATTGCATTCTAGTGTTCGTTCGTTCTTCGTAGTTTGTACCAAATCGATCTGCATTTCAGGTAACATTACTTCAATGGCAGCTTGGAATCAATATACGACCATGGAGAGAGATTTAAATCCATCCGTAGAGGGTAAACATAACTTACATCTTGTAGTAAAAAACAGTGGCTTCACCCGAGGAGGAAGAAGGGATGAGATGCTTATCGATGATGCTCAAAATGTCAGTGCAAATATTGGAAAGCTCTTCTTCTACTTTTCGACGGTTCCCTTTGATCAGCTTAACATTCTCTTCGTTCCCTTTGGATTCCTCTTCTGTTCGATGGAAGACATGATCCGCCACGAAGCTCTCCGTGCACCGATGACGTTCTTGTACCCCACAGAAAGCAGGTTCCTCTCTTCCACGGTGAGTTCGCAGTTGAGTTTTGCCACTTTTTTCATACTCTCCACCATTTCTGCCTCACACCCAGAAACCAAAAACACGGAAGAGAAAAATTCAAACTTAAATCGTCAAAGCTTGTTCAACCTCGAAAGAAATTGAAAACCCATCGTTGGTTTTGCATTACCTTCGTAACGCTCGGCTTGTTCGGCGAGTTTGGCCAAGTAAACATGAGTTTCTCTCTCTTTCTCTGGAGTGGACATTGTTGAGAACGAGAGGAAGAACAGATAGAACAGTGTGTGGCTTTTTCAAAAAGGGAAACAGCCCAGAAAGTAAAATGGCGGAATGGGAGAGAGGAAAGGGGAAAGATGATAACTTATAGAAGAGAGTCACAGGGTGGATCAAAGGTTGAGGGGGAAGCCTTGAAAGGCGAAGCGCGCCATTCGTTTTTTTTGTTCTTTTTTAACTTACCAGGACTTGTTCAATTCCTTTCTATTCGGACTAAGATGCTGACATTTCAAATTTAACATTTCTCTTCCTTTATAAAAATTAGGATAAATTTATTATGTTGCAATTTAACTATTTTTATATATATTTTATCATTTAATTATTTTTTTTAAAATAGTATGGTTTGATTTGATAAAAATAATTATAAAATACACTACAATAATAATTTTAGACTTTAAAATTTACAATTATATCAAATTGATCATAATTTAAAAAAATCTTTAATATTTAATTTCTTTTTTAAATTTGATCGAACATAAAATTTTATAATCTCTTTCTTAAATCCTGATTTTCTCAATATTCATTTTCTGAATATTATATAATCATAATTTATTGATATGATAGAATTATATCCGTCTTTTTTTAAGATAATATTCTATTATTGAGATCAATGACTATTTATAAGCTATTTGTTTCCTATTTATTACTTGGTGAGTTGATGGAACTTGAATCTTATACGCTGTTAATTTATTTGGATTTGAAAACTGTTTTCTAAATGCTAAAACACTTTTCATATGAGAAAATATGGGAAAGTGCTATTTGAATTACCCAAATTTACTTGCAAAGTGTTGTTGAGGCAACAGAGGGGTTGAGCACTTGCTTTGCATGCTACAGGCACAGGGTTGGATTCACTGCAACTCCAAAATATAATTATTTTCAGATTTAAATAAATCTAATAATACTTTTCAAAATCATTTTTTGCACTATACTTTTCAAAAGTCGAACTACAACCCAACTCATATGCATCAAAAAGAATTTCTGATAAGAAAAATGAGGAACAATGGCTCAAGCTTTAAGGCATGAACCTCGCAGATCCAGTAGAGATTAGATGGCTTAATCTATTTGTAATTACCACATTTCATGGCCATTGCACAGCAATAAAATTGATGGTTCGATACAAGGAGTTCGATATCGAAATAATAAAGAGATAAAAAACTCAAAATTAAGACCGAGGCGAAAAAATAATGTGGATGAATGAATTGGCTACATATACCTTGGCAAAGAAAACGAATCACGGTTACTTTTGCAGCAAAACTCGTTTCTAAACTAATCTACAATCCTCCACCATGCTCCTTTGGTCATTAACATCGAACAGCTTGAAACTCCGGAGCATAGCTCGGGTTGTCATGCCACAGACAGTTCATCCTCTGCCAAAACAGCTACATCATCAGTTCTAAGACATGATGCCTAAATATAATCTCTACACAAATGATGCTAGCTAACTTCACGTGGGGTGCAACTTCTGTAAGTGTGAAAGCCTAAAAACCGGTTTGTAAACATTATCACATATACCAACAAAACCTTGAAAGAATTCATGGCATAAAATCCGGTTAGAGTTTTGTTTACCGAGGTCACTTACTACGTGGATATAAAAACCAAAGTCAATCCAGTTCCAATATGAGAAATCAATTAGAGGTTCTCACAAATTGTGCATGGGAGTGATTTTTTTTGGCGGATTAATTGGAAGCTTACCAGATCAAGAAAAGTTTACAATCTGCAGGCTTGAGACCTTTCGGTGCTCAACCAATCATTTCTTCAGGAATGGTTTCTGACAAACAAGTAGGCGCTGATCACTACCGTTCTGAAGGTCGATCACCCTTGCATCCCATCGTAATTGTGTAGCATGTGAACGCGCCAACTCTATAACTCCTAATTTATCAGAGAGCACAACCCAGCCCTGAAAAAACACAAGCTCTGATTATGAATAATTATAACTTCTAATATTCGGTTGCACAAGTAGGCAATAACTATTTCAGAAACAATTAATTAATACAGCACATTCTAGGGCATTCATTAAAAAACCAAATTCTTTTTGTAGGGGGATTATTCAGGAGAATTAGGATGC